GGTATTTTCAATTTATGCGTGTGGAAGTTTGACATCGAATAAGGGAACACAAAGGAGAATTAATGCATTTAAATGATGGTGTTGATGAAGAATACAAAAGCCCTGTGAGCTTCCAATAAATCTCTCCTGGGGGAAGTAACGTCAGAATGCTCCTTACCCGGGGAGATGATGAGACTTATTCTCATGCACTTTGGACATGTTATGAGGCAAGAACAACCTCTGGCAAAAAGACATCATGCTTGGTAAGGTAATGGGGTAGCTAAAAAGAGGAAGACCCTTGACCATAGATTGGCATGCTGGCTGAAGTGATGGACTTAGACATAACAATAGTATAGAAGGTGCAGGAACAGGCAATGCTCCATCTATTGTACACGGGGTTTCCATGAATCAGAACTGACTGGATGGCACCTAACAACAACAACATACATTGGTAAAACAAAGGTTTTACCAAAACCAAAAGGTTGTATTCACTTTCTCAGTTGTTTACACTTATCTCCTCACTTAACATTCCAAAAAGTACTATGAAATTTGTAAATTCACATTGGTTCCTTTTTATAGGTAAAGATACTGTCGCACAGAGACTTAGATATTTGCTTACAAGTGCTACAGCTGAGATCTGACTCCCAGTACATGACCTCCAGGGCGTGCTCTCCCAGGAGTTCACGTAGGATCACAGTGACGAGAGCAACTTGAAAGACGAGTGAGGCATCACGGGAGGCAGTGCATTTAGGTTGATGTAGGGAGGACTAGCCCAGAAAGGCATGAAAATGGTCACACAACTTAGAGTCCAAACTCACATTAAGTGGCAGGGACAAGGTCATGGAAGTAAGTGCCTGGCATATTCCCAGTGAGTCCCAACCCTTGCTTTTGAAGAACCTCTGTCAATGCCCTTGCAGCCTCCTCCTCACTATCTTTACCTATTTTGCTCCTTATGTCTTTTTCTCATACAAAATATTCCTACCCATTATATGGAACTATTCCTGGATAGTTCTTCTTTATTGACTTTTCTCCTGTGGGACTCTCCCAGGCCTCTCAGGCAGATTATTAGCTCTTTGATATAGATAGCACACAATTTCCTAGCTAGATAACTTCCAATCTCCTTGTCAGTTAATCTCTAAAACAGAAAACTAAACATATGACAACAACAACAACAACAACCCCTTACTGCCATAGTTTCCATACATTCGACCATATCCCATATGGCGGAACTGCTCCTGTGGCTTTCTGAGACTTTAAATCTCTATAGTAGACAGCCTCATCCTTCTGCCACAGAGCAGCTGATGGGTTTGAACCACTGCTCAGGCTAGTGCCTAGTCTGCTATGCCAGCAGGGTTCCTAACGAGACATAGAGACCTCTTAATTTTTCATCGTGAATGCTCTAAATTTTGGCAAGGCACTTTAAGTGCAAACCTGTATTCCTGAACTAAGTACACATGAAAGAGGTATAAAATTTACAATATCTCTAAAGGACAATATTCTTTACGGTTCATTGTACAACATTTGTTCAAACCAGAAGTGGATCAATAGTGTTTTATTGGTCCCTCTCATGATAAGTCTTTGTTAATGGTACAATTACTTTTGGTACCTCTCAATATTTTA